CCCCCCGTGTCCCCCCCGTGCCCCCTCATTGTGCCTGCATCCCCGCCATGTCCCTGCTGTGTCCCTGTGTGTCCCTGTGTCCCCGCGTCCCTGTGTCCCCGCCATGTCCCTGTGTCCCTGCTGTCCCCCCACTGTGTCCCCATGTCCTTGCCTTGTTCCTGTGTCCCCCCATGTCCCTGTGTCCCCACTGTGTCCCCACATCCCCGCCGTGTCCCTGTGTCCCCGCCGTGTTCCTGCCGTGTTCCCGTGTCCCTGCGTCCCCGCATCCCTGTGTCCCCGCCGTGTTCCCATGTCATCCCCGTGCCCCCCCGTGTCCTCGCATCCCCGTGTCCCCACCGTGTCCCTGCATCCCCGCCATGTCCCTGTGTCCCCCCGTGTCCCCGTGTCCCTGCCGCGTCCCTGCGTCCCCCCATGTCCCCGCATTGCCACCGTGTGTCCCCGTGTCCCCCCCTTACATGAGGGATGCTGTATATGCGAAATGACCAACCAAAACCTGACAAATTCCCAGCACAGCCCAGAAATTTTTGAGAGTACAGTAATCAGAACATACCTGACACCAATAAGAAGAGAAAAATAAACGCCTTTAACCCTTTTCCCTTGGTTTAGTCATCTCTGGCAATTAGTCTAAGGTCATGCATTTCTGATGATGTTTAAAATTTAATCTCACAAGATAAGGACATAAAATTACACCATTAACTACATTAAGGAAAAAAAATACCTTCTGAACTCTTAAAAAGATGCTTTGCTTCTTAAAGAAAGGCTGTCAAGTTATAAAATTCACATCAACATTGAACAATATTCTAGCACAACTGAGCACTAGCTGTAGACTATGCCAATTCCCTTATTTAACAGAAAATGCATATAAAAAGGAAAAATAATTTTAATATCACAATGTGTCAAGTGAATGGTTCGTTTCCTAACAAATAATGCTCTCAAAAATGTACACATTAAAGGACTGAAAAAACATCAGATCAGCACCTTTGCCTACTACAAAATAGTTCCTGCTGCAGCTCCCGTAATGGCTATTTTACTCATATAGTTGTATGCTACTACAGGCCATATGTGCCAGTACGTGCATGCCATGCTAGCGGTATTTATTACCACAGGAAACGCTCCACATGACTGGGGGTGGCAGAGACAAGCAACAGAGCTGGCTCTGCTGCGCAGCAGCTTCACTTCTTCTTGTGATTCGTGCAACATCCCTAGACACTCTGCATTCCGATCCTGCAACTCATGTAGCTGAAAGAGAAAAGAGGCGATCATGTGATACCAGTAAGCTTCAAAGACAAGACAGAATGAAACTGTATTAACTCCTACAGAAACCTATATCGACTGATTCAACACTGTAATATTTTCCAACTGCACAGCACATGCCAACATCTGGAATGGGCAACGGTCAGCATAGCACCCGCACCGATTTTAGCAGTGAAGCATGAAGTCCAAATTAAGACTCAAGAGAGGAAAAAGTATGATAAAATCCAAAGGAAAATACATCAAAAGAGTCTGCAAATACAGTAACTGCTGAGGCAAAAGAAGCAAAAAAGAGAACTTCCCTAACATCTAATGAGCTACAGTACTGTTGATCGAATCAGTAATATTCCCACTAAAACACTCTCTTTCTCATAACTACTAAGAACAGTAAGACCTCTCTACTTGGAACACCTTCCTTGCCTTTCATACTCCTGTGAACTACCAAAATATTTGTGTAGACTTAAATAAAAATAATCATTCTTTTCCTCCAACCATATGACTCCAACCACAATGAAAAATGAAAAGCCCTACATAATTAAAAAGTAATAGTTCCCATTCTCTCAGTTATCCTTCTCTTGTATTCTATTCCAAACATTTATCTAAATGTATATATATATATAAGCCTTAAGTACCTCTGCTGTCAGTTGTCTCTGAGCATCTTTGGAAGCTTGTAAGTGAAGTTTCAGCTCCTCCTTTTCAATCACATGCTGAAAGCACAAAAAGGTGCTCATCATTTTCTCAGCCGATTTCCCCAAGAGAGCTGATCCTCTGCCATACTCTCCTGAAACAGCCACTCTCTTGCAGTGTAACCCCCTGGCTTGCAAGTCAATTTTTACCTACTGTAAGCACTGGCATTCCCACGTGCGTGCACATGCACACGTGTGCGCACGCACATACACTCTTCATCAGCATTCCCTTACTTCTTTTAGTTTATGTTGAAGATCAACAATCTGAGACAAGAGGGATGAGATCTCTTCCTGGTAGCGAACCAACTCCTCACTCTTCTCTGACAACTCCTCTGTTATTCTGGAAATTTGAGCATTTGTTTGCCCTACAAAACATAAAAGGAACTTAGTAGAGAGCTTTTCTCAACACACGACAAAAACCAAACCAAATCCAACCCAACCCCAAACCCAGAAAAGATCAGTGAAAGTCAACAACGATCTGCAAAATGACCAATACTCTTAGGAAATCAATTCATAGTACGTAAGAGTAGGTGCCTTAGAACATCCATAAGGAAAAGATAAAGAGAAATAATGGGGAGGCAGAAGAGAGAGAGAGAGTTAACTTCAAATGCAGGTGTAGCGTATTAAGAGCTACATATGCAGAACCTGAAATACATATCACAAGTATGCGAAATGACCATAATAAAATCCAAGGTAAGCTTCTATAAACAATTTCAAATGACATGCTGGCTCACGACCAAGGCCAAACCTGGACTATCCTGAAGAAGTCAGGCTCTGAATTGATCTTACTAACTATCATTCTCTGTAAGCAAAGGCATTTTGTCAGATCTTGTCAAGCATAGCATACACCTATTTAGCTCTTAATTCTTACCACCATCTATTCCCCAAAGACCCACTGCATACAATTTCCAGTTTCTTTTTTTCTTTGAGCAAGCACTTCATCAAGTGAGATGACAAAGCAGCTCAAAAAGCTGAAATATTTTTATGCAGTTAGTCTTGCTTGTATACCTGCCCTGAAAGCACAGCAAAGTCATAATAAAGTCTGATCGCTCTTGCATAAAGGTCACACTACAAGTTTAGTGGTTATTGTACCTCACAGATTTACTGAGAACAAGGTCCTGCCCATGGACCTGTGGACATTTAAGCTCACAGTGAGATACCTTTTTCCTGAAGATACAAATTTTAAAGCTGTAGACTAGACATCCTTTGCGAGAAGATTCTTTCTGTGAGTCTACATTACCTAGCATGCCTATACCTGCTATAGAATTGGACAAAACAGAAATCACAGATGTTCTCATTGAAGGAAAATAGGAGAGCTTATATGAAATAACCTCTATTTGCAATAGATATGTATTTTCTTAGAGGGAACGGAGTAAATTAACAACCAACTAAGTATCAGTTCATAGTATTTTATGGTCATCTGGAAGAAGAAAAATCAAGCAGCCAACCCAGTCTTCTTTATGGTGGTTGTATAGAAAAAAAAAAATCTTTAAATATAAGTTTAAGGTTATTATGCACAAAGGAAGTAGCACACGTCAAATGAATACAGATTAAAAAAATGTACCACCAGGTTACACAATCACCACACATGAAAAGGATTGTTCCTTATTGTTTCAGAATACTTGACATGCATTTGTGTAAGAGTAGCTGCAATTCTTTGCAAATAAGTAGTATCCAAAGCAAATACGGACAACTGTTTCAGACAAATTAAAACACTTGCCAATTTAAATGCTTTGGTTCATAATATGTATTTTTAAAATGAACTAATGTGTTCATAGATATATAGTAATTTAGAATGAGTAATTTAAGAGTCTATGCACTGATACGTTTCAGTGTCAAGTGTGCTGAATAGTCTATACAAGAAGTATATTTTGTTGATTTTCCAGTGTCTGTAGGCTTTGGTTTAGGAGGTTTATGGACATTAGATTTTGCGTTCATTTTCTCTCTCTAAACACATTACACATACCTGAAGCTGAATGCCAGAGTGAAACTCAATGAAATACATAAACAATTTTGCACTTGGGTAAAAAGCAAGGCTTTTTTATTATTATTTCATTACTGAAGCTCATTTTTTGATCCAGGGATAACTAAGAAGGTGTAGGCCCTAGGTATTTCAAATACCATTTTGCCATTGCAAGATACAGCCTGGATACTCACGGAGCTCTTTTACACAGTCATTGACCAGCTGCTGTTCCTTCTCTTCATATGTAATGGTTTCTGTCTTCAGATGGCAAGCCTTCAAGAAAATTATTGGTATTCCAATTTCAGTTTACCTATACATATATTAATGTTATAAATTTTTATTTCTAAAATTCTTGCAACTGAAGAGTCTCCCCTCTATCTATCGTCATAATTCCTATCCATCTGGCCATACTTTCTAACCATTTTTTCTACCATAACCTGTTTCCCTGAATTGTGTAGGTCTCTTGAGTGAAAGACACAGACACATGAACAAAACCTGATCTCTTGCCTCTAATAAAAAAATTGTTGCAAAAACATTTAACTTGGT